CTATATATATTTTTTCCTTAACTTTAGATTTTTTTTAATTATTAATTTAATTATTAAAATAACAAACATTTTGTTAGAGAGAGAATCAGTAATTGAGATCGTTTAAAAGCGATACGATATATCGATATGCATTTAATGCTTCTAATATCACGATTATTCGCAACAGACATTCTCGTTGCAGAATCGGTGGAAAATCAACAATGCGTATTCATAAATTTATTATAATGCGTGCAATTAGCTAATTCTATAAAATAATTCCCGTAGTATCGTAGCCAATTATGCTTCGTCAAGCATCTAACGCTCTTTATATAGTCTCTACTATAAAATTTACTAATAACAGTGAAATCGGATACCCTCATAAAATAATTTAGCCATTCAAATTATAATTCTCTTAATTGAGAGCATAACGTACTGCAATAAAGTAACACGCACAAATGAAACGGGTAATATCGAAACGGTATTTCAAATCTACAATAAGTCTCCAAAAAGATATAAATGCATTACGCTATTGACATAAATGATAAGCGCTTTGATGCGCGCGTCGATCGAAAATATTTCAGCTTTCTCCCGAGCACAATGTCTCATCTTCCAGGATTCGTAAAGATCCGCTGGAGACGCTTAATAAGCATTGTTAGCGGGGTCCGATCATGCCTAGGTGGGAGTCGAGGCCCGGAGCACATCCCACGGCACATCTACGCGAGCTGCCTACCTTTCTCAGGGAGCGTTCTCTTACCTTACATAAGTTCGCGCGGGATAAACGAGGACGAACGGCGCGACGGCGTAGAGGAGAAAAGAGAGGAAAGTAGAACGATGGGAGAGACGGGAAGAACGGATGAACGAGAGGTGAAGGTATGGCTAAAGAAAAGAAAGGGTGAGAAGGAGAGTGTGGCTGGAGGTAAGAGAGAGAGAGAGATGAAAGGTAAGCTATAGCGAAGGAGAGAAAGACCGCAGGGGTCGTCTGGGATCTTCTAAAAATGATTCACAGCCTCCGGTAATTTACATTCGCTTGCGTGGGTGATCGTCGACTCGAGAAGGGAGACGAATAGGGGGGGGGGAGGTGGGAGGAGGTG